TTATCCATTTATTAGTATCTATACTAGTTTCAAAAATAATTTTGAACTTTTAAAGACAATTATAACATGATGTTGACCCGGGTCAAACCCGGGTCAATTAAATCATGACCCGACCCGTTTCGGAGCTCTAGTCCACCAGCATTATCACAAGTAATCTTTAAATGGTTTTCACCTTTGTTCAATTTCTTAATTCCATCAAAAATCATACTAAGAGTGCCATTAGAACCTTTTTCTATAATTTCATTTTCATCAAGAACATAATTAATTTATTCCCTTACTGTTTCATCTTGAATACCAAATAAATGAACTTTACATGGATTAAGGTAATAAATTTTACTTACCTGTTGATCTGAATGGGGCATATGAACATTTTGGGCTCAATCATAACTATAATGAGCAGTAGCATCAATACTGCAATATTGTATTTTATCTTTGGAATAATTTTAGTTGACTAATTTTATTTGTTCTTCTGCCAATGTAGTGTTTTTATTATAATAATTTCCTTCTAATCTTGCCTTGGATAATGTTCTTTAAATCTTTTGAGTAAATCTTTAGCTTCTTCTTCTTGGCAAGCATTACAATGTAAACCATCTTTAAAATGTTGACAAGTATCACATATGTCAGTTCTTGGACTCATAATTTGAATTTCTGGTGTCATAATTTTCTGAAGGCATCATATTTAAAGATTTTAATTTGCTATCTTCTTCTAGACCAGCCAGAAAGTCACTGATTTATAACTTATCCCAGCTGGTAAAAATACAATTGATTGAGTTATTCTATTTGCAATTCTTTCTGGACTTGGTAATCCATGAACTTCTGCATAATCTTCTAAAAATTCTTTACTACTTCTGTAACATTTTTATCAATTACCATTTTAGTTTTCCATTTAAGGCATTCTTTTAATATTACCATGAATACTTGGTAAAAGACCATTGTTTATCAAATGACTTCTGATATTTTCAAAGTAAGTCCTACCAATTCTTAACATATCAAGGTAAGTTTCTTGACAAAGGGGTGTATTATGATCCCAGTGGTAGAAAGTTCTTTTATTAGACCTAGTTTTCTTTTTAAGGTGTCTACTAGTGCTTATTAATCCCACATCCATTATCTTAAGTTGGGCCATTAAAAATATATCTTGCTCTGTTTTAGAGAGAGCTTGAAAAGATTCTCTTAATTCTGCAAATTTTTCCTTGTAATTTTTGAAGAGCCGAGCATAGTTGCATCCTTTTTCTAAAAAATCAATTGCTTTTTGATGTTCGTTAGAACTACTATATTCATTATTTTTCATTTATACTTATCCCTGTATATTAATATATAATTTTATGTCCACTTTGTAGATTTTTATAATCAATACTAATCAGTGTTGAAAATTCAGTGCGGGGAATACGGGGGTGTAAAATTACACACCAATCAAAATTTTAATTTTTGGAGATAGTTTCAAAATTTGAGCTGGTTACACGATGAAATTTCAACACTGGTAAAACAGGAGAGAACGTACTGGGAACACAAAAATTAACAGGAGGGAATACAAAATTTTAACCCATGCAATTTGTTGATTGACCAATTAAAATCGCGAATTTGATAACGTAGAAATAAATATGGGTTTGATTCATTTTGTCAACAATCACTTCACCAACAATTGTTTCATTAACGAATTTAAGAAGTTGGAAGAAATAGTCTAATAAATTAAATTGTACTACTCGAAAATGTATTTAAAGGGTTGGTTTTTGACTTGGTTGAAGAATAACTCTCTTCCTAACTTTTCTCTTGACCATATCTCTCGATATAATCAAAATAACCTTAATATAATGAATGTCAATGAATGATTGTAAACACAACAAATTTAAGATATATGATTGTGACAAAAAATGAACAATGTATGAAAAATCAAACAAATTTATTTAATAAAAACAAAATTTACAATCCAAAAATTTTTTTGCATGTTCTAATAAAATTTCCATTGTTGCTGTCATCTGTTGCTGATTCAACATTACCCGGATCCATCATCAACTGTATTTTCGTTATTTTCAGTAAATTCATTTTCATTTAATATTTTTCATCATACTTTCTTTTAGTGTATTGACTAGTGTTCCATGTCGCAATCCAAAAAAGGAAACAAAATGGTTGTAAAGGTGGTTGCAATTGTTTTTATATGATGCAAAGATGGTAGCAACCATCATCAAAAGTTGCAGCCAGTATCCTTAGTGTTGACATTTTTTTTGATTTCGACTTGAAGATAGTCCAAGCATATCAAACATTTAGATTGGCACTTTTGTAGACAATGATTGTGATAACCATTTCCACATGCAAGTACACTACAATTATTCAAATTAGTATAGTTAGAGTTAGTGTAATCACAATATACGTAATCGCAAAAAATGTTTGTATGGATATTTCACAGAATCTATGAAATGTTGCCGAAAGGTATTATCCTCTCGATGTTGAAAAATAAAACGTGCCTCCTTTTGCAGTTGTTGTGTGGTGAAAAACTTAGCTGTACGTCGTCGAATAATACTGTGAATAATTTCTACAGGACTATCACTTAAAGAGGCGAGATGATTAGTAACCATCTCAATCATCGGATGATTTGTCTCCATCCAATAAAAGACATCAGAAAAAAACATTAAAGGTGCACGCTTATAATTTCTCCGATCAAACTGAAGAAAAAGATCACTCCAGCAACGCATACAAGCTTCTTCATAAGCCAACCAGTTACCTTCTCGATGGTGCACTGCGTAAACGTCAAGAACTAAAGGAATTAAATTGCTCAAAAGATTGGTTAAATATAAAAATTCGATGTTTTTTGTACGACCAAACTTAGAATAAACAATATCATCTATATCAAGCCATGCCATGCGCATGATGTGAAGAATTAAATCAATTCGCCATGGCCGTGGCTTCTTACCAAGATTCTTACGATTTCCAAATAGTCCTTTATAAATATCGTTAAATAAAAACGAATTTTCCTTAAATACGAGTTCACGACCATTTAAAGACACATGAAGAGGACCCATAATAGGTAAAAATGCTGTAACGAATGAAGGAATAGTTTCGTTGTTGTTGTTGTTGTTGAGAAACCGATGTACAATAGCTTTACGAATGAAAAACTGACCAGGCCAATCCGCAACAATGGGAATTGCGTAATTAGAAAGATATGCTTGCATTGGTTCTTGATCATGTACGATTTGGAGAGCTTTTGTGTAATCTTCCACACCTTTCAAATTGCTTTCAACAAAATCGAAGAGGATAGCATTCTGTACATGTCGATCGGTCTTTTTTTCCACTAACCTATCATTGTAACTATGCAATGTTAGTCTTTCCATGAGCTCATCATCAGAACATTCGTTACCTATATAGTCTTGCATGCGATCATTATAAGAGACACCAAGATTTGTGATAAATCGGTTATCAAGATGTTTCATAATCAACTCATCATCAAAGATTTTTGGATTCGATGCCCCATTACGTGGTATTGCTAACATGTTAGGACATGGATTTGTTACAATAGTTGCCATATGTGCCGCCCAAGATGTAGTAGTAGTATCAGGTCGTCTCTGGACATGAATGTTATGATAATCATCAACATTCAACATGAATGCACTTTTTGAATATTTTGTAAGTGCATCCTCTACATATTTTTCATGTTCATCTGCAACTTGCTTCTTTTTACGATCTACTGCTCTTGATGTTGTGGTTGCTCCAAGGTTCGCCATTGTATTTAGGCCTTCATTACTTGTACCTACCGAATCTAAATAGAATGCAAGGTCAAACTTAAAAGAATTAATTTTTGTATTGTTTAATGAAGCAAGAAGATAACATATGAACACCATTAATCTCTTCATACGGTCCATCGTTTGTTCATTACGTTCAAATGGACGAGCTGCTAAATATAATTGGTCAAAAAACCCCTTCAAGCTTGGTTCTATTTCTTGAAGCAATCTTCGCATTTCATCAAATTCGTATATAGGACCTTCTTTATTATTATATTCTCTTTCATAAAAGATTTTAGCAATCATCTTGATGGCTTTAGTAAAATCAATCTTTTCACTTACCTCTACCTCTTCCTCTTCCTCTTCCTCATCCGCTTCTCCTTCCTCATCTGTAGTTTTTGCTCTCCTAGATCCTCTTTTTAAAGGATTTTCTACGAAATTCATATAACAAACGTTACATAAAACAACGCCTTCTGTCCACGTTACCTTTACTAAGTCGTTGTTCTCAGCTTCTTTCCATTTATTGCCTTTTAGTTGACGAAATTTAGCTGATTTAATGGTTTTACATTCTGTGCAATGTTTAATTTCAGACATTTTTTCTTCGAGTAAATCGTATTATGAAAGTTGTGGGATTCAAAGGGATTCAAAAGATATGATAACAACAAAGTGTAAAGCTTCAAATTTGTGTAATTATTTGCACATGATTTATTGTAAGAATGGGCTACGTAATACCCTTGTAAAAGTATTCTAAACTGTATAAAAAAAATTGAAATCAATTGTGAACATCCTTTCCTTATATAGGACGGTCTCTCCTGTTTCCATCGATTAATAATTTTTTCATTTCCTTAATATATTTATGAATGTCCTGCAGAAATGTATCATCAATTGAGACCACGTATCCACATTCAATATAATTTGTTTTTTTTAGTTGGATATTGTTTGGAAACATCTCTGACAAAAATTTCAAATAATTAATAATTTCATCTATTTTAAAGAAATTAATTGGCTATTAATAAATGATCAAACTAGGGGTTTTTTTTTAAAAAAAATTTATAAAACAATACAAAACTGCAGTCATTGTATTATCAGGGATTGTATCTTCCCAGCTCAAGTATTTGCCGCCAGAATTAATTACTGGTGATATGTTTTTGATTAATCTACCAGAATTGTTAGTATAGGATATTTTTCCTATAATTTGATCTAACGTCAAATTATTTTTATTTGATGTGATAAATGCTCTAATATAATATAAGTTATTTAATTGGTGATCCGTCTATGAATGAGAGAATTGTTGATCAATTTATTATAAAAATACGGGGGAAATTTTATATTAAAAGATCGACAAAAAAATATTTTACATCCCCATTACACAATAAATATTTAAAAAATTCTATTCTTGCAAAATTATCATTTTAAAATGT